TAAAAAACATTGTTTGTAAATAAACTTTTGTGGAAGCAAATATTTGTATTGACTAGTATTAAGCGCTACAATTTATTAAACGTATTTGAAAAAGTATAAAAACACTCGTTTAAACATGTCTAAAAATCATTGAAGAAAAAAGAGAGATTTATTCTATTATGCAGAGCATAACGAATAACGAAATAATGTAAGCACGGAGCTGAATTTTTTGTTGTAGCTAAGAGACAAGAGAAAATGAGAGAGAGAGAGAGAGAGAGAGAGAGAGAGAGAGAGAGAAGGAAGAGAGAAAGGTGAAGGAGACGAGAATCGAAAGCGACGAAAAGAGGCGACAAACACGAGGCAGCCACTGGATATTCGTGGGTGCCTGCAGCTCGTACGATAATCGATAAAATTGAATTACGCGCCGCTGAACATCGCGATAGCGGCCGGCCGGTCGGTTCTCACCCCCGGTGTCGCGGAGGTTCTCTTTGTTCGAAACCGACAATCACCGACGGCCCTGTCCGATATATATTTACCGTCGATTGACGAGCCTGCGAACGCGCCGAACCAACCGGCCGAAAGCCGCGAAAAGGATCGAAGACGCGGACGCTGTGCGGGGCGAGTGTCCCTAACGCAGGATTAGCCTCCTCTGCACAATTTTCACCCCGTGGTTCACTTTAATTAAAAAACTTGACGCACGCATGCACGCACACACATCCCGTGAGATTAAAAAGCGTCGTTGGATTCGGCCGTAGGAGGAGCACGAGCGATATCGATTGTACGCTCGTCTTCGCATCTAAGCGTGCGCTTATAATTTCCTTGCGTCGCGTCGCGTCGCAGCGTCGTCGGTCGAATCGGCTCGCACGATGAATACGACTTTGCTGAATTGTAATATCGAGAAGAGGATGTATACCCCTGGAGAAAAATTCAAAGCGTCGATGGTCGAGAGCTCTCTAGCTCCTTCGATCAACTACATGAATGTGGTATAGGTATATTATAGGTATAGGTATACTCACCGAGCAGGAGTAGCCTGTGAGTGGCACGGTAAACCTGCTTGTCCTTCTGCAGCTGCCTGGTGATGGCATCGGATCGTCTCTTCTGATTTTTGCTTTCATCCTGGCTGTCCTTGTTCTGGCTGCCGAAACACCCCATGACACACCACGGGAAGGATACGGATCGCGGCTCGCCGTTTTTCCCTTCGACGTCTAACGGTCCGGGTCCGGGCCCGTCAGGTTCTCGGATCGCGTATACGGCGGTGGCGGTGGCGGAATTGAGCGAGAGGTAGGACGATCGGGACACGGATGGGGACGGACGACGACGGATGGGGCCCGCGATCGAGTTGGTGGTCGCGAGGGCGACCGTTTGGTCCGTTCGGTCCGTGCGGTCCGGGCGACCGGCGGC